TCCAGAACATGTTGGCCTCAGATCGGCAAGGAAAATTACTACAATTTAAGAGTACGTGTCGGATAATGCTCTTGGGCTTAACTGGTATCTTTCTACTTGATGGATTCAGGGTCGGCATTCCCTCCCACAAAGGAAGTTAGTCTTCGGAAGGAGTGTCTTTTCATCAGTACACACTGCTCTAAATTTTCTTTGATTTCGTCAATTTCATCAGCATAAATTACCGGATTAAGAGGTGCAACCATGATATCTGCTGTAATGGCACCGAACGAACATGAACACTGATATTTACCTTTGACAACAGCAGAGCGCAAAAATGCCTTTTGTAGGTTGAGAAAAACTAGGTGTAGAAGTTTGCTTATGTTTCTATATACCTACTCCCAACGCACACTCAGAGTCGAAGATTTGTTCCATTGTGCCAAAGCCTAGTCCATACCATATTAAAATACGAAGAAGATGTATTCTTGGTGGAGACTATACGATAATCTACTCAAAGAGCACATGTGACATGACCATCTTACACCGCGGTAATTGTTACAGTACTGTATTCTGCCCCTGCCTTTGTATACAAGCGTGTTGATGCTCATACGTCACATGTATATTGCGGCTGTTGTAAAGGAAATGTCAGTAAGTCCCAACGATTTGTTCGCCTCTGTCGGAACGTTATTAGGGCCGGCCTTCGATGTTTCATGCTATCAAGACTCTGATGGTTTCACTAAAATATACCTACTAGTTTTAATTTGCTGCATACTACTGTATAATTATTAATTCATTATTCATAAATGAATATCTGTTTCCAGCTTACGGTGCGGCGTGGTCGCTTAGTGTGTATGTATGCTTATTTATCATTGGTTTTTACTGATATTACAAACTGTTTCTTTTTACAGTAAAATATGTGACATTTCAATTGATAACTGAAAACATAACAATATACTAAGAATACTAAACGCACTAAGAATATGTAAAACAGGATATAATAATATGCATATTATTATAATTATTCCCTTTTCATCATTTGTGATCTAAGCTGTGACTACTTCACCACTAAGCTCTTTATTTGTTTGAGTTGTTAGTTGTGTGAGCTTTTAAGCTAAGCTAAGTATGTACTCCCTTGGCTGATTGTTATGTTCGCGCACTAGGGGTGAAAATTGATTACAATGTACAGAGGTGTTTCGTCCGCTAAGGAACAGAATTGACGCCCTTTAATAGCTGATTCCCAAAATAGACAAGTTATCATCCACTTCGTTGGCCTACAAATTCTTGATATACTTCTTGTTAATCACTTATCAGGAACTATTAATAATTAGGATAACTGGTAATTCACCCCAAATCAAATATCTAGTAACTTATCGTCGCTGCTAACGACGTTAGGGTTTTGTAATGGCGTAAGCTCATTATGTGTTATCTGGCCGAGATGTTTGTAGCCCGTTTCGACTTAAATACAAGCAGGATATATTTGTGATTAAATAAACTAGTCCAGTGTTCGTCGTAATTAACCGATCGTTTACATTACACCAATATTTTTCCTCATGATTCATCAGCTGCGTCGCGTATTTCAGTAGTCGCAGGGTGTCGCGATGACTGGTATATTCCACACCCGTTTTACAACGGGGAGAGATATTTAATTAATTCTCTGAGTGATGGTTTTTGTGACTTGTGGTGTTGTGGCTGTGAACATGTTGAAGTTCCTAAATAGTTCTCGTTTTGGATCTCAGTTCGGCATTAATCACAATGTGGGTATTTTTATTAATTGCATAACTAGCATAGGTACTACATTTTTTAGTATTTTGTTTTATTCATTTAAAATTCAAACTCATTATAAGTATTTAAGTTATTAGATATTAACTGTGGGTTACTTTTTGCTTTTATTCGTAGTATTTTTATAACTGATAGTTAAATACTCACATAATCGTACATGAGTTTGTCATTAGAAAACTTACAAATAGATTTACAATTACAACTAACAAAATAATAGAATTGTTTCGCTACTCCCGGAAAGGAACGAATGTTTAATAATGTTTCGAGTCCGGAGGTGAACTTTGAGGTCTATCCAAAGTTTGATATGAATTTAGTTAAATTTCTGCTTGTACAAGCTTAATTAAGCTGCTTTAAATAAGCCCTGACGAGTGATGTATAAATTTTAATTAGTAACTCCTTTATTTTAATTGTTTTATACAAGTAGGTACATAATATTGTTATTTAAAAATTTGTCCACCATTTAGTAATGTTTTTACGTCTCTGCATTAGTTACATAGAGAACATTCTTAAGTTATAACATCAATTTATTTAATAAACATGAGTTTACGTTTCCTTTCAAGATCATCATCATTACAGCCCTTCACAAGTCGACTGCTGAACATGGGCCTCCCCCAAGGTATGCCACAAAGCACGGTCCTGAGTCACCTACATCCATCGACTTCCTGCATGTCTTACCAGGTCGTCACTCCATCTAGTGGGAGGCCGCCCTACACTTCGCCTACCGGTACGAGGCTGCCACTCGAGAACCTTTTTTCCCCAACGGTTGTCGGTTCTTCGAGCTATATGGCCGGCCCATTGCCATTTCACCTTACTAATCCTTTGGGCTATGTCGGTCACTCTGGTTCTAGAAACTCCGAGCATAGCCCTCTCCATAGCTCGCTGAGCGACTTTGAGCGTCCTCATACGGGCAGCAGTGAAGGACCACGTCTCGGTTCCGTAGGTCATCACTGGCAACACGCACTGGTTGTACAATTTTGTTTTCAGGTTTTGTGGTATACCTGACGAGAAAATGCGTCGTAATTCCCCGAACGCTGCTCAGCCGAGTTGAATCCATCGATTAACCTCTCGGTCGAAGTTGGACTTACCTAGTCGGACTATTTGTCCCAGGTAAACGTACTCGTCAACAACGTCGTGCTTAGTGCTCCCAACAACTACCGGCATAGGTGTGACATGGACATTAAACATGATCTTTGTTTTTTCCATGTTCATCCTAAGATTCAGATTGTACTCTTCGGACTTCTGTACAATTTGCCGAAGGGTATGTATGTGGTCTATGGTACTAAAGCCTTTTCGGAAACCGGCTTGTTCGGGAGGCTGGGAGTGGTCGAGTCTGCGTGCGAGACGATTCGTAATGACTCTCGAAAACACCACGTAGACGCGGCTCAGAAGGGATATCGGTCTGTAGTTCTTCAAGAGGGTGTTGTCACCTTTCTTGAAGAACAAGACCACCGCACTTCTGTTCCACGTCTCCGGAGTAGTGACACCATGGAGGACGAAATTAAAGAGCCTCTGAAGGACTTCAAGTACCGGTTTTCCACCCGCTTTCAGAAACTCCGCTGTAATTCCATCCGCGCCCGGGGACTTGTCGTTTTTAAGGTGCTGGAGAGCCATTCTAATCTCGCTCAGACTGACATCCGGGATATCATCGGAATACCCTTACGTTCACTTTAACCTAAACGTTCCCTTTAAACACATTTAATCATTGATGTATTTGAGAACCTAACGAACAAGTTATAGTAGGTAATTTTGTATTTATAAGAGCAAGGAAAAATAGAAAATAGCATTAAATAGATCAATTTAGGTAACAAGAAAACTTTATTTTGTAAAGATAACTTAAAATTCTTCATTATACTGACCAAATAATCCATCATTCATTCCTTGAATGGAGGGAAAATTAAATGTTCTAATATAAAATATTCCGGTATTACTTTATGCATATTATTCTAATGAAACGAAACAATGTTCTTCGAATTTTACCATTCTTTTAAATTGTTTTTTTCTTTTCTTTGAGTTCTGAGCGCACTCTTAGTTAGTAGTCAAGAATTAGAGTTATTTTCTGTTTGTTATATACAACTGGATCTAACTGGCCAGGTCTAACATATGCAGTTTTTGAGATGAGCTTTTTGAGATGTTAAACAAGCAGATTGGAAACTCTGATCCCATAAATGAGCACGTGAGCAAACTTCACCTGATTGTATATGAATGCTGTGGCTCGTAAACACGTATCTTCAATTAATGGTCAAAGTTGAAATGTGTTGAAAACCTCTTAGATAATATTAACGCCTTGTTACCAGTAGAAAAGTTCGCCGCTTATCGACACATGCTATGCTGACACAATAGCATAATGCTGTGCTCGTGTTGTGATAGTTCGCCGGTGGGCGCATGTAGCGTGAAATCGCAATTCATTTTTTTAAAGAATAAGGGTGACAAACGAGCGCACAATCCACCTGATGGTAAGTGGATGCTGTGGCCCACATTTACATTTATCTTCGGTTAAGAATCACAACGCAGATACGTTGTCACCCGGACTATGATGGAATTCCTCGTTTCCGTAAAATAAGGTTTCCGGATCTCTACACTCACCATGCAGAACATAGCAGTATTAAGCTGCTATTTTACGCTGGTATTCTGTGAGAGTGTGGTCCTTCCCTGTTTGCGCCGACCCATTCGTGCTACAATCATAATGTAGCTGCAGCGTGGCTCTCCCACGTAAAAAATGCTTAAGGTTCTTTGAATATTTAACGGAATTCATCCCTCATTGCTGACTTTACATCTTGCGGATTTACACGACAATGAAAAATGTCGCGACCATTAAGTTGAACTTACGCACGATCCATTGCTGGCTCTGGTTCCTTCATTACATACTAACATCGTCGTATTTCTAAGGAGTTGTGGAATAGGAATATTTATATGACATGCTTATGGAATTAGAGGTTCTCGAGTGACAGCCGCGTACGCTAAGCGAAGTGTAGGGCAGTCCCCTACTTGATGGAGTGACAACCTAGCAAGAGATGGAGGAAGTTTGTGGGCTTTAAATGTATCTATGAATATTTTTGTTATGGTATCTCAGAGGCTGAGAGCATGCTTTGTATCTGAGCGTATGCAAACGACTTTTCTAAAAATATTAATATAGATTTACCAGTGAAATATTGCGTGGAAATATGCATGTCTGCAAAATCATCACCATTTTTGCGAAATCATTGTATTTAATAAAAATCACCTAATTGCTTACTTTGTTTCCATAGGACGGCCTGGACGTCATGTTATCAGTGCCAAAAAAGGCAAATGACGCTATGCACCTATCTCTACTCGAGGGCTGTGATGTGCCAACCGACAGTTTGGGTGAGGTTGTGCTACAAGACTCATTTCATGTGTGGGACTTGCGTCAAATCATCAAGAAAGGGAGAGAGCGGCGTGTATTTCTCTTTGATCTTCATCTTCTCCTTGCGAAAGAAGTTAAGGACTCCCACGGCAAAGCCAAATACATTTACAAGACTAAATTTATGGTGAGTATTCAAATTCATTCGTATCTTCATAAGTATCTTTAAGCAACTGTTGCGAGTCAGCTCGGCGCGTGACTCTGCGAATTAGCCGATGATAATGCTGGCGCAGGGCGGGTCGAATACCCCTGATTTTTATGTCAATATTCAAAAAAAGAAATGAATTTCGGTTAGTTGTCTACTGCTGGACAGGTGTCATAGTGGATTTTTTTCCTATAATACTAGAATATCGCTGCTATGGCTTCCTGGGAAGAGTACATATAGTATTATGGAACATAAAAATATTTTAAATAATTATGTAATTCGTTAAAAGAGTATTTTTATATAAGCATATTTGTTTTAATTGAAATAGCTACTACTGATTAAAAAAAAGAGAAGGGTATAGACATAATACTTAAGTAGGCGATCTTCAATGACTGTAAGTAGGGCCGTTACTGTCTAAAAACCTAATTATAAAAATAAAATTTATTATTATAAAGCGACCACTTTTCATGTTGTCGTTGTTAATGAAAAAAGAGGTCACGGCACTTAACCTCTTTTTCATTATATGCTATACACTTAAAATTGCATAAGTGATTTAAGCCATCAAGTCCATCCAATTTATTAAATTGCTTACCTGTATAATTATGTATAATATAATACGTAAAGAGAGGCCTTTGTACCCCTTATTAAGTATATTGTGTGCACAGAGGAGTGTTAGATTTAGGCTAATTAAATACCACCGATGTCAAATACATATTTTTTGCTTGGATAAATTATTTCGTTTGTTGACGTTCATATTGATATTGATGTTCATAATATCTCAGAGTATGCACAAGCATTATGTTTCTAATTCTGTTTTTGTTCAACGGCCAATATCAAACACTTAATAGTCTGTGGTCAAACAGTCCCCCATCATAGAGATTATCGAAAAAGAATTTGAAATGATACAAACAATTAATGACAGATAAACTAAATAAGCTGTGAATTTTGTGTGATCTTAAATGTTCCTTTCTCAATACTGTGTAGTGTAGGTTTGCCAAGGCGAAAAAGCGCTTTTTTAAATATTTTCTATAATACATTTCTAGATTTTTATATTAGAAATTACAACCGAATGTCGACCATTAGGTGGCCATTAGTAACAATTAATGGGAAAACGAAAAATAGACTGTGTTATGTAATAGCTAGGAGTGTATTGTGCATGTTACGATATTATCGGCGACGGTAAATATGTTTGAGTGCAGTGTAGTAGTGGAGAGTAGTACCGAATGTAGCGTTTTTTTTAAAATGTTTTGTATATTTTTATAACTTAAATCTGTCTTCGAATCTAGACTTTTTTCAAAATAAAAGAAATAAAATTGTTTCTCAAACAACGTTCCTTGGTGACTTATTTCCTTGCCATTTCATGCTTATAGCTCAGATGGTATATTTTCTTTTGCGAAGTTAATTGAAAGTCGGTCATATTTCTTATGTTGTGTAAGTTTACTTGAAGATTTTTCATTAATGTTTTTCCTATTTTCAATATATTAGCCAATAGGGATTTAGTATCTACACTTTTTAACGATACAGTAGCAAAGTATAAGGACCTAAATCAGATTTATTTATCCTTTATTATACACCTTAAATGGATATAAATTTTATGGCGTTGACTACTAGTCAACCCTTTACAATTAATATTTGCCAATTATTTCAATCCTTTTATGTATATAATGATAATACATTCCGGTAACTATTTATTAAACTGCAACCGAAATATCAAAAACTGTTTTGACGGCCAAACAATAAAATCGAAATGCCATTTCGATCGAAACAGAAACTGGAAATTACAAGTTACTGCGTGAAACTGTATACAACTTGTTTGGTTGTTAATTGACTGCAATGTATTCAACTAATGTATTCTTTAGTATTTTTAAACAAAATTTAATAATCATCATCATCATTATTACAGCCATTCACAAGTCCACTACTGATAGGGCTCCTCAATGAACGCCACAAAGCACAGTCCTGAGCCACTTGCATCCACCGACTTCCATGTCTTGCCAGGGCGTCACTATTTAGTGGGGGGTCGCCATACACTTCGCCTACCGCAGAGATTATCAAACTTATTTCTTTTACCGCCCCCTTTGAAAATCTTTTACTTTTCATCGCCCCTATATTTTATACACTCCTAAAACTTAAAAACCACAATTACATTTCTTTAATTAATTTAGTTAGGTAAGGTGTGCTATGTTAGTCGGTTCTGATGTTTAAACTTACATTCTAAACTAGACATTATTACTAGTGAGAGTAATTAAAACACAGCTATAGGTAATCAATTTTAGTTTTAAAACTAATCTGATAAGATGGACGAATTTAATGGTTTTTAACAAATTTGTCGATATGAGGTTCGATTTTACTCAAAAACAGTCTTAAGTCGTTGCGTTCGGTAACATGCTAACGATTTCTTTTTGTTAGTAAGCAGCGTTGGCACAGCGCTAAATGCACTTTCACACAAATATGACGATGGGAATGCTATAAAAAATCGTTGAATATCAACCACAATCCAGGGTACTACTGCGGGATTGACTTTTTGAATTTGATTTTTATTACCTCGTTCGTTGTCAGTTCTATAAGTTCTTCTTCCAGTTGGGGTAGGTGGGTTGGGGGTGATACTGCTATGTTAATGTTGGTAAAAGGTTCTAACACACAGTCTGGTATTTACAATTATCAAAATGTCCTGGAATCTTTCAATGAAATCACTGTGGAGATTTTCCAAATGTTGGCAGTAGACAATCAAGTCGTCGTTTTTGCAGGATACTGAAAATTGGGAAAATTATGGAACTCAGGTCTGCCGATATTCTTTTTATGTAAGAGCAGCTTGGCTACGAAAGATGAAAAGAAAAGAAAAGAAAGATATTTTTTGTTTTTATTATTTTCAAGTCATCGCCTTGAAGTTGGAGATTAATATGATTAAGCAATTCATAGAGGTCTGTTAGGTATGCGATATCACTCTTTGATGTGATGAGGTTGTTGCGCAATTCTGTCTCTTTATTTGCCAAGAACTCTGTGACAGAGTCAAACAGATTGTAAAATAGAGTCAAACAATTTCCTTTTCATAGCTAACGCACTTCTGTGTGAAAAATCAATCGCTTGGAATCTTCATCATTAGAAACACAAAGCTGATTAAATAATCTGTCATTTAAAGAGTTGTTTCGGATTTTATTGGCTGCTCTGTTGACATGTTGCGATGATTGAAATAGTGTTTGCCGGCAAAATTAACGTTTCTCTGATTGTATGCGGTTTACCTGTTTGAACAATTAACAAAGAGATATTGTATGAAGCTTGAAGTCTGTCATCGTCTTGCTTAACAGTTACCGAAGAAAGCTTTGATACACTTGACTGAGCATATTGTGCTTTTTTTCCAGATCTTGAAAATAGGCTACATTTTTTTCCTTCTTATCTGCTGCTATATGCATTTTATTCAAATAAACTTGAAGTCTTGAAGGCTTCATCACTTGGTTTGAAAATGTTTTTGAACAAAGAAGGCACAAGGGCAAAGATGGATTTGTCGAATTTTCTATGAATCCATATTTAATATAATCTGCACACACGCACAAACTCGTTTATTTCTTTCGACGCTCAATCGTACTGAGCAAGTTGTCTTAACTTGCTCAAGTACTGATCAAAGTATCGATGAACCAGTCGATTGCTACCGGATTGCACCATTAGCGTTATTTAACAATGAACTTGTTACAACTTGATTGCGTTCGGCGGACGGGCTATTCTACGAAATCTATGTTAAGTATTTCTAGTTTATATACCATCATACAGGGCAGAAATATAAACTAATTATTCGATATTGAGTAGTAGGTAGGTTTTAATTTTATGTAATAAATTTTGAAATATAAAGTATCGAAATAAAATTACAAGTCAACCATCGCCCCTCTTAACCACGCCAAGCCCCCTATTTTTTTCTGGGTCCCTTAACGCCTCTCGTGCCACACACCTGGAATGGTTTCCAGAATTACTTACTACACTGCTCGATGTTACATTAAGTACATGGAACATGCCATTAAAGCACCATTAAAGTTTTATGTTCGGCCGAAAAAGCTTGTAACGAGCCGACTATCTCTAATATTACTTAGTAAAAAACTTAAGAAAAAACTCAGTATTCTTAGCAAAAAAACAATTGTACGACATTTTGATAAAAAAAACATGACGATTCTCCTTATCGAATCGATCTGGTCGCTATCGTTCGATGTTTGTTCTCTTGACATGCTGCCATGCCTATTGGAATATAGTCTCAGCTCTGAAAGAAATAATCGTGCATATGTACGGGGACTCTGAGACCGCGTTGGTGTGCTGTAGAATGACGATAACACTGTGTTTATCTAAATGTTACAATCGTTCACTGCTGAATGTGATAAGGAAACATATTTCATATTTTAAGTTAGCTTTAAATCCGTATACGTTTTTTTCTTTTTTTTTTTGTATATTTATATGTATATCTAAAGCCACAGACAAAAACTGGTAAAAATAAACAGCGATCGTATCATGAACTCTTTAAACGTTTTCCCTTTACGTGAAAATTGATCATGGTAAAGATGATAGAGCAACACAGGAGGGAAGAAGCCATAACGTTATTTTTCGGTGCCACACAGTTATTTTTTGCGGGAGTAATCTGCAATACGCACACTTTCTCATATTATGTCACTATGAAACTCACATAACAATTAAAATCACACAGATACCACAGGTGAAGTCATTGAATAATAATAATAAAAATAAAAGGGTCTTTTACCTAACGCAGGTAGGGAACGGCAAAGCCTGATTGCTCTTAGGAACGAACTTGCACACTTTTAGTCACTTATTGTAATTTTTAAGATTAAAAATAAATAAATCCTATACCTTTAAACGAGCAGTTCTTGTATATATATATAGTCGGGATCTCGTGAGAAAATCTATTATTTCGAGCCCCTTTTTAGGATTTTTTAAAAATACTTACGAAAATTTTAATTAAACTAATTGCACTCATGATTTTTTATTCAAATAACCAGTTCAGTTTTTTCTATTATCTCAATAAGATCAAAAACTATTATTCATGTAATTTGTATATAAATGTAACTTAAAAAAACCGAGCAAAGCTGGGTCATCCGGGTACTAACTAGTAATATCATTAAAAATTACTTGCAATGAATGGTAATGCCATCTTTTTGTAAATTTATCGTGGCTGATCTCTTTTTGCCGGAAAAAACTGAACAATTCGATATTTTTCACACAACTAAATATAGTCTAGTGAACAGTGCGGTTACAACTAGTTTTATTGTACGCACAAAGTGTACGTGTAGGACCGCGTTCATCTATACTGCGGCACAGCGGAACGCCTGCGTATGGCTACGTAAATATAAACAAACGTGGGGTCGGACATTGTCGTACAGTAACGGAAAGGAAGCGTTACGTCATGAACAATATATTTTTTGCAAATCTTATTCGCTTGTGTATAAATATTTGATCATACAAAATTTAAGCTAAACGATCCTTGCAGTAGTATTTGTAGTAATATCTTTGCCACTAAGGTCCATCAGTTGATGGGTAGGAGATAGAAGGTAATGTGTGGTAGAAAAATAGTAGTTTAATTGATCAGCTTACTGACACTAAGCTTTGTTTAGCGTACTTCGAAAATGTAAATAAGAAATATTTAAGTATATATATTACAAATAAAAACCATATAGTTATATCAATTATTTAACACTGGCAGTATTTCGACAACTATAAAATTTAATATGTATTTATTTTAAACCGGAATTGTTTTTTATTTAATAAAAAAATGTATGACAATTTTATTAAATTAAGTAGTAATTATGTCATGTGTTGACAGACTTCGGAGTTGGGGGTGACTGAACATATCGAAGGCGATGAGTGCAAATTCTCCGTGTGGACCGGCCGTGAACCTATGGCCAGTGATTGTCGCATAGTCCTTAAAGCGCCCTCTCTCGAAGTCAAGCAGACCTGGGTACGCCGGCTCCGAGAGGTCATTCAGGTAATTCTTATTGCTGTTTTTGTCTTTATAATCCTTTCGAACAATGCTTCATATCTGAAATATATTGTAAGCATACATAATAATAATTAATTTGGACAATGTTTGCTGATAAATTGCTTTTGTTGCAAAATTTACTGTAAAAATTTATTAATAATATTAGTGGATATCATTATCATCATTAAAGCCGTTTACAATTCATTAATATATCGTTCCTGCATATTAGGGCATATTTTGTGCAGGACAAGTAATAAAAAATATTTGTAACCTTTTTCAATAATAATAAAATACGATCTTAAGTATTTAAGTAGTGGCAGTATATTTTAATTATTTAAGGTCTGCCTTTACTTTATGCACGAGTAAGACATACCTTCAGGCAATACGTGAACTCTAACTTGCGCGGTATTAATATCATAGAAGATGCCTTCGTAATATCTGAGCTAGTTTCAAGTTAACAAAATTTAATCCTTGACGGCAAACGTGGTTATCTAACGGACTCCCGCGGGCTTATAGTGATGGTCCTTTTAGTAATGGGAATTTTAAATTTAAATCTGCAAAAATACTTCAGTTCATTGTTGTTGTACTCAAGTAAATTGGCAACGCGTTGATTTAAAGAAACGTCATGTTATCATCAACTTTCTCTGTTTTTATGTCTTCTATTATTAATTTTGTTATCAGGAAACATACTTCAGCGGATCTCTGGAGCCGCACGCACCACGCAGTCCGGCGCGCGGTCGACCCACCAGTTCACAGCGATCAAGCAGGTGACTTTTTCAATTGACTTATAAAATTTAAGACAAATTTAATTTTTTATCACATCTGAAACACTTAAGGGACACCAAATAATTATTTTGCATCTTAATTTCGATTTGTCAGGTTCAAAAACTGAAAATTTGTGTTCAGTTGGTCCTCGAACCTTTTCGTTAGAGAACGCCTTTTGGCGATCGGTCATAGTAATTGTGATCATAATAAAAATACATTCGAATTTTTAATTTTTGTTACATGAAATGTTTCTTAATGCTTTATATTATTTTAGTTTATTTCATTGATATCAAATTCTACGAATTCCGAAAAGATTTCTCAAAGAAGATATTTACAAGATATAATTTAAAACCTCTGAAAGGTGGTGTCTAATAAATCTAATTTTATCTAATGTAAATAAGCTTTTAAATTTTAAGTTTAAAATTAGTAATTTGAAATTGACTAATTATACGAAAAATATTAAATGTTATGAACCAATAGAAAATATCATCTTACAAATAGAAAGTAATGATTTTATATAAGCTTATCTATAGCAAAAATCTTTTTCTCTCCGCTCTTCTTAAATATAATAATATGTTATAACTATAACATAAATATAGAAATAAGAACTTTGTTGAATTTTTGTGTATTATATATATATATATATATATATATATATATATATATATATATATATAATAAATGAACTTAACATAGTATGTAGTCTAATAAGTGTGTAATTATTTTAAAGTAACTAAAAAATGGAATGCTTATATTATGATAAATCAGATCCAAAAATGCTTGAATGTAAATTCTAAAAGTAAATCGTTCACTCATGTATGGCGAGTGCATCCCGTCTTCGACTTTAATCTGAAATACGTACCAAGCTACCAATAATGTAAAATTTCTCAATCGGTTGACTGAGTAAATCTAAAAGATCGTTTGCATGCTCGAGAATTATATTTTAAAAACGTGTATGTACCTTCAAATCTTTGAATATGATGTATACAAATAGTTTCATTTACTTTGATTACAATGCCGTATACTAATAAAATAACAGAACATTCGCACACGCTCTAGTGCATGAACTGCACCTACACCTTACGAACTGTCGTGAAAGTAAAATGTGTCGGGTTGAATAACAATAAATGTATTTTATTATATATGGTTTATTAAAAAAAAAGTGACGCGAGAATTAGTGTCGGTCGTGTATAGCGACTGCTAACGCATCACACATTACTTTTTTTTCTTTGTGTTATAATTAAAATAGAAAATTTTACTTTTTGATATAAACAAAACAAAGTACGAATCGATATTAAAACGCTACGATGTAACAAATATTAGAAATACACATAAGTAATTCTTAAAAGTTTTACCTCAAATTAGACTTATGGTCGCAACTATTGAATTTTCGATATATTAATAATTATAAATATATTAATATCGGAGTTTTATATATAAGTTTATTTATCGATATATCGAAAATCGAATACTTTCAAAAATATCAACAGTTTTAGTTTGAACTGATCAGTTGGAATGATCAGTTGAGCGTGTGTGGCGTCCATTACTTTTATTTTGATATAAAGATTACAATTAGTAGCATTTTTTGTTATTTATAGGGATCTCGATGACACGTATCTAGACGAAACAACGGAGAACGTCGATCGCAACTCCTTGGCTTCCTTCGGTAGTGGCAACACGACGGACTCCGACAAGGTGAGAAGCCTTATATTTCCACACGTGAATTTCTATTATGTCATAACAGTATGTAAGTTCATAAAGGATCGTAACGATAATGTAGTTAAAACTAACTTTCCACACTCGAATATAAGCGTAGTCTTTCGGTTTTTTACCGGATACATTTCGAAGAGTGTGCGAGCATTTCATGACTTGATTCATTCCTCTCCGTTACATTATCGGATTACCAGACCTTCGAATGCTTTTCTTTACACCTTTTATTTTTTAATGTTCAACACATTTGAACTGAATGTTATAATAACTTGTCCCTAATGCGTATAGTAAAGAAGTGGAAAAACTTGCCAGTCTGCCTTTCTGTCCGATTCCAATCTAGATGTCTTCAAGGCTTTTTCTTTTTCAAGGCTGACTATAATATTGAAGCAATGGCTTAGAATAGTTAAAAAAAGTTTAACGGTGACGCTAACAATTTTTATACACCAATCATGATTAGCTGTACATTATTATATTACCTCATAGCTGCAACCTAAAGCCCAGGTATGATCCAGCGTTCTCAGAAGTGATTGCGTACATGTACAAATATTCTGATTGACATTTTCTGATTTATTATTATTATGGTGGTCTGTCGCGCTATTCCATTGTTAGTGTTTGCGGATTTCGCATGTCCTCGAATTATTTTATTTCTTAGAAATGCAGGTTTCAACAGGCAAGCATGTGGTAAATCAGCAATTAAAAATGCAAATAACAATTTTATCGGTGCCGGCTGGGATTGAACCTGGATTATTCGCGTAGTGTGAAATTAATGGCTCAATATAACCTGCCTAATGACATATTTTAATTTATAATTAGTTTCAGTTATAGTCTGTTTCAATAAACAATATAAGTAGAAGTATTAAATTCCATACTTTAAATTTTAGTTCGGTTAAGGTATGCGATTTCCCACTTCTATTTTGAGAAAGAACCTTCTTAAAACATGATTCAAAAGAAAGACTGTCAATAAATCAAGTTTTGTTATAGAAGAATAGTTTTTAAATGATAATATATGCATAAGAAAATTATATGGGTTATTATAACTTAAAAAAGTTAAAGAAAAATTAAAGAAGCGCTGGATATTTCCGTCTTCAAAAGAAAGCTTAAGTATAAGCGCCCTTTAAAGGCCATTTTCACTTTGATGAAATGTATGAACTTTTGAACTAGTGGAAAATTCAGGATATTGAATAATATTTGACAGTAATAAGAGCTTGTCTTCAATTTTTTGTAAACATATCGCGCGGTACATTTTTGTACTTATTTTTCTTACAGACTGCTTTTAATTCGTATTATATTACATACTTTTTTAACCATACCCAACGGTAAATTATTCAGTATGGGCTGAGCATTTTCTCATATACACTGGCCTCCAAAAAATATCGACCCACCTACGTTTTTTCGCAAAAAAGTGCCCTTGGGTTTTTACAACAATCGATAGATATTTTTATTTTGATAATGTAATAATGCAGTTGTAGGGTAAAACAAAAAAACTAAAAAACGGCGCCTGAAACGGAATATTGGAATATCTCATAGGCAAGCAAGGTTAGAATTTGCTAGGCAACACGTGCAATGGAATCTTGGTCAATGGGAGACAGTTTTCTTCAGCAATGACAGCTGAATGACCCTTGTAGGCTCTGATGGACGTCGTGACGTTATGTGAAGACCAGGAGAACGTTATGCTTAGTGTTGCGGTTTGGTGGAGGCTCTACGAGGGGTGATCCAAAAGTAATGATAATGAAAATAAAACACGATAATTAAAGTTAAAATAATAATTTATTTTTCTACATAGTCTCCTAACAAATCAATACGTTTAGTCCATCTTTCTAAACCCAGGATTCCCTTTGAGAAAAATTATTTGTCTTGACCCTCCCAAAACGCTTCAACAGCGGCCATTACTTCGTTATCGTCTTCGAGTTTCTTGCCTCGGAGGCATTCCTTGAGCCGAGGAAAGAGGTAATAGTCACTAGGAGCTAGATCTGGCGAATAGGGAGGGTGTTCGAGCAGTTCGAATCCCGTTTCTTGAATGGCAGCCATCGCAACTGCGGCTTTGTGAGCCGGTGCGTTATCTTGGTGAAACAGCACTCCAGCTCGCAGTTTGCCGCGTCTTTTTTCCTTAATGGCTTCCCGTATTTTCTTATTTGGACCGCGTAGTAAGAGCCCGTAATAGTGGCTCCCTTTAACAAATATTCCACCATAATTATGCCTTGAGCGTCCCAAAAAACAGATGCCATAACCTTTCCCGCCGAACTTGAAACTTTGAATTTCTTTGGCGTCGGTGAGGAGGCTCGCTTCCAAGTCATCGATTGCTGTTTCATTTCAGGATCAAAATGGTGGATTCAGGTCTCGTCCATAGTCACAAAACGGAACAAAAATTTTTCTTGATCTGTTTGGAACTTTTCGAGATTGACCCTCGAAATGTCAACTCGATTTTTCTTTTGCTCGTCGGTTAACATTCTGGGTACCCAACGCGCAGAGACCTTTTTCATATGCAACTCGTTCGCTAGGATTCTTTGAACGCTGCCATATGAGATCCCTGTGACCTCAGCTACATGCCTGATGGTCACTCTTCGATCTGCCAACACAACATCTTCGACTTTTTTCACGTTGTCTTCAGTGAGGGACGTGGATGGGCGTCCTTCGCGATGTTCATCTTCAGTGGATGTTCTGCACAGTTTAAAACTCCTTGGCCCAGCGTGCAACTGTAGAATATGGAGGAGCAGAGTCCCCCAATGTTTCCACTAAGTCACTGTGTATGTCTTTTGAAGACATTTTTTTCAAACAGAGGTACTTGATGACAGCTCTAATTTCGTTTTTCTACATGTTGATGTTATCTCTTTGACAGTTCGTATTCAAATGAATGTATCTCCCGGAAATCGTGATCTATTTATATGATTTTTTTAGGCTGACGTAGTGAGTATATAAGCAAACAAAAAATAATTTTTTTTCGATTTTTATGCGGACCTGAAGTAACTGATTATCATTACTTTTGGATCACCCTCGTACAATGTTTTGGGGTGGCATATCTTTAACCGGATGTACTGAGTTGGTTTTCTATCGCAATGGTGAGGTTAATGCTAAAAGTTACATTACGGACATTTTGCAATCTCATGTGATGCCTTATGCTGGGTATATTGGGGATAATTTTCAACTCATGCATGATAACGTAAGATCGCACGTCGCTAGAATTGTAACTTGATATCTTCAGGAGGTCGGAATTCCAGTTTGCAATGGCAATAGTCCGAACTTAAATCCCATCAAGCATCTCTGGGACCACGAAATACTCTTATTAGAGTAAGGTTTATATCTTTTTAAATTTCTAAAAATGTAAATATCGATCTTCACAGTGTAATCGTAAATTTTGTGAAATGTTATGGTTTTAATGTTTCATCACATTTGTTTGTAAAATATCCCGTTTCACGCGCCTTTTTTAGTTTTTTACAACCCTGTAATTGCAATATTACATTATCAAGATAAAATATATCTATCGATCGCGGTAAAAACCCACTTTTTTACACTTTTTTGTGAAAAACGTAGGTGGGTCGATTTTTTTGGAGGCCAGTGTAATATTTTGATTAAAAAGCATACGGAGCGATTTATAGAAGGATTACGTATCTTATACCTTTAAACGAGCAATTCTTGATTTATATATATATATAAAATCGGAATCTCGGAAACGGCTCCAACGATTTTCATAAACTTTTGTGTCCAGGGAGTTTCGAGGGCAATAAATCGATCTAGCTAGTATTTATTTTTAGAAAATGTCTTTTTGTCCGTGTTTTCAGGCAATGAAAAACTGCTACAATATAAGTAGGTAAATTTTGACACTGTGTTAATGATCGTAATAGCTCAAGTGGATATCGAGCGGTCGCGAAATCTTCATTTCTTGGTTCGCGTCCTGTCTTCGGTCCGATTTTTCCTTTTTTTTAAGGTCCCTTCTTTTATGAGAAAATCTATTATATCGAGCCCTTTTTTAAATATTTTTTAAAAATACGAAAATTTTAATTAAACTAATTGCACTCATGATTTTTTATTCAAATAACCCGTGCAGTGTTTTCTATTATGTCAATAAGATCAAAATATATTATTCATCAGTATGTAATTTGTATTTAAATGTAATTTCCAAAAAAAACCGAGCAAAGCTCGGTTATCCGGGTACTGTTATTTCTTAGTCTCGCTCGCGCCTTATAAATAATAAGCTAAAAGTGGGTTAGATTGGCCCCCTTCTTTTTTGTTCGCCGGAGAAAAATCACCTTAATATAATAATTGTAATCGACGGGGCTCCTATTTCTGGGTGGCTTATAAAAATAACTGAACGAAGTGCTCACTAGAGCCCGCCATCCCCATCGAACGTAACCTGTCCCGAGACGGACTGCCCCGAGTCCCTAGTTCGTTTCGCTTCACCAAATATAACTACTTCAATAAGTAAACATGTTTTGTCACTTCGACAATTTCCAAAAATGGATTTTTATTACGTTTCATAATGTTCCGCGCCACAAGTACTCCTCTATCGCATCACCAAAATTCTCTGGATTATTGCAATTATCCTTTTTTTTAAACGCTTCATGGCTCTCCATTGTTACACAATCCCTTGTGTGTTAGTCCCCTCTGGAGCCACAAATGGATTAGCAGGGTCCGAATGGTTGACTATGAGTCGTAATATTTTTAGAAAATGATTTTAAATATTTCGACACATCTTCAGAGCTACAATTGTATGGGGCGCTTGAGACAAGCCCCCACTTGACACCCCCCCCCTACCAAAGTGACAGACTCATCAAATTCAGGCATCTTAATACTAAACCCAACCCAAAAATACCCCTAACTATGTACAAATGCGATATAATAAGCGCCACCGGTCCAATGACTTTGGAAGAATTAAACGAAGTTAAAGCAGAAAAATCTTACGAATATATAAAAATATTCATAAATATCTCATACTTATACACATAAAGTTCTAACAATCAAAAAATTACCCACATCCTATTCCTAAATTACTTATTTAAATTTTAATGATTATGTAAAATAAATGTACCTTGTTTTAAATAGGCAGTTCAAAATTTTGGTATCTTTTATAAACTTGCCTATGTTAATTTATTTATAAACGAAGTTAAAGCAGATATATAAAAAAATCTACGTGAATGTCTCCAAATGAAGAGGATTGCGCTCGTCTTGTACTTCTAATTCTAATATAGAAAATAAAAAGCAAAATACTGGAAGTGAAAAACTCCTTCAGAGATTGAGAAATCCAATTGATAAAATCCGTTGGATATTTATCACACCAATTTGATGGAATAATGATCAAAACGAGTAAATGAAAATGAGAAATAAAATGCTCTGAAAAACGAGCCCTCATACAGCAGTTAGAAGAAAAAATAGAATCCCTGCAACGTTCTTCATCCATAAAAGCTGCCATAGAGTTTCGTAATATTTCTGCAAAAAAGTAAAAGAATCCACCAGTGATCTCATATATATGTCGCTCGTAACGGCACTGCCCTTAAATTAGAAATTAATCCATCCGAGGTCCGTGATGTTTATAGACTGCCCATAGATAAATAAATATGTAGCAAGCTACAGATACGACAGCGACTTTTAGTCAAGTTTCCCAACTACGCCTTTTGGCGCTGCAGTCGCCCAATTTGACAGATGAGTAATGACGTCATGACTACACAATTTAGTATAGCTTAGGGATTGCAATCACACAGCCTTCTAATTATCGATATCGATGTTTAGTGGTGTTCTTATTTTGTCGATATCGACATAAGTGCATTATACAGGAATAATAATACTTAATGAAACAATTATAATACATCTAACTTATTTATTTTTTATTCAAGCACACCAACATCATATACATACAAACGTAATCTTAGGATTAAATTAAAGGCACATTAAGTCATATATACAAATTAGAAAATTGTACATAACATTTTACATAAATAAGTACAATTTGACGAAACAGAGCAATATTTACAGTTCATTAAATAAAGCAAATTAAACCACAGGAATCATATTTAAGTGCTTAATATTTTACTTTCAAGTCATTTTTTATTAGAAGCAATGCTATTTATTTTTCATTAGGGGTAAACCTGGGAATTCTTTTACAAAAATTAAAAAACATCTTCTCTTCTTTAATTTCATTTTCTACACCACGTAACCTGAAAAGAAATAAATAAAAATAAAGTTCAATATTCATATTTTATGACTTAATGATAATCATAAATTGTATATTATTTATATTAAGGTAACAAAGGGTGGCATCATGGCAGTTGCCATTTTTTATTGGTCAACCCATGGTGTGGTGAAAATAAAGTGGTAGATGCAGTAAATAAGAAATAAAAAACATATAAAGATTAACACTGTATACATCCATTATCAGGAGATTTCTCAATGTCTTCAGGCACGGAGTTCCAAATAAGTGTAACCTTAATACTAAAGGAGTTGTTGATAAAACCATTGAAGTGTAGTGGAACTGTAATCTTTAGATTTGATGTAGAACAAAGAACTCTTACCGTGATTTGAGGATAATATGCTGAATATAGATATAATAGATATGTTGAAACTTACTTAATGTCTAAGAATAAACTGAATTTATCATACCTTTTTGCCAATGTGTACATTTTGTATCTTCTGTCAACATTTGTCTCACCACATCAGCATTAGATTTCTGTTTCTGAAAACCAACAATATTTGTGAATTTTGTTCTTATACATAAACCCAAAATTAAAGAATAAATATATAATGTATACTTCTGTATTGTATGTATTAATGCTGTATGGCTACTGTTAACGACAGTTTAGTATAATCATAATTCAAAAGTGATCTATATTATCATATAACTTAATTTTTAGAATTTTATTTCACCACCGTCATCATTACAGCGCTTCACAAGTCCACTGCTGAACGTAGGCTTCCCCCAAGAAATGCCACAAATCACGGTCCTAAGCCACCAGCATATACAGGTCGTCACTTCATCAACATTTTATTTACTTAAACATGTTTTTCTTAACCTAAAACTTTTATACTTCTTTAAGGCCAATTTTTGGGGTTCACCCATTTTAGATACATATTTTTCATCGATATCACCCTTCAATATTTTATTATTTATGTTGCACCAATTGTGTCCATGTAATCTAATTAAAATATTGACGAAAAAGTTTTTGACAATTAAGGCATGCTTATCACACCCTAGGCAGGACAAACTTAAAGTGCTCAATAAATTTCTTTTCAAATTACTTTTTATATTACTTCCAATACAGCTATAATTCAAATAGTTATGAATAAAGTGAGTGCCATCCCTGTACAAGATAAGGAATTTTTCGTTAGGGTATGCCAAATTATTATTTTTTAACAATTTATACTCTCTAAATTTAATGTAAGAGTGAATGTTTGTCTCCGTACTGCTAATATATGTTTTGATGCAATCCTTACAACGAATCGCTTTCGTTATTTTCCGACAAATGTATCCAGCAGTGTAAGCTGAGCAGTGGACTTTAATTTTTTCCATGACTACATCATTCACTAGCAATTTTTCTCCTGAACTTGCTTGTGAAGAAGATGGGAGATCTCGCAAAACACTGGTAGTGTTTTCCGAATCATTTTCTTTATTATTATGAAGGTTTTTAAAAAGAACACTAACATTTAATAATGTTTCTCCATTATCCTCTTCACAATTAGAGAATTTGGAATGTGGACTAAGCATGTTAGATAATATCAAAGATTTAAAGGCATATATAAATGTGTTTGCATCTGGGTTAACATTTCTATAATTTACAGCTCTTATACGTCCAAAAAAATTCTCTAATGGGTCTTGATTAATATTCCTCGGATAACAATATTCTACATTATACTGTTCAAATAATAATTTGGAGACCCTTATAAAACTTTCAAGAGTTGTAACCCATCCTTGTTGGGATGGCACTCGCACAAGTCGTGGTTTTCCTGCTTTTGTAGCATGTTTGCTACTGGTGTCCACAAAAACCATTTTTTTTATTTTATTAATGGCCTCAATCCAAAAAGTGTGATGTTGTGAATTTTGTTTAACCGCTCGTCTTAACTTTCCTCTTTGCACACCACCCGGGTAGCCATTGACGCTGTCAAACAGTGTGTCAAAGAATTCAACAACTTCTGCTGTTGTGGCCATTGTTGCGTCAGAGTTTGCAGTATGAAAATAATCTGAAAAAAAAAGTACTTCTTAATTTAATTTCTTTTACAGTTGGACCTGCAAATCTTTAGCCAAGACAATTCTTATTTGGTTACAACAACAGACTTTTTTAACCATTTTTTTACAAATTGATTTTTTTACATGAAATTTTACAATAGTATATACATAAATTGAATAAGCCTACAAATCAATATAGCAATCGTTATTTACTGAGTGCATTTGTATATTTGAGCATAGCAGCAGTTCGAGCACTAAATACTTGAGCAGCTACGCTGACCTTCATTTTTTTGATCTTTTTGCGATCAACATGATGAGCTGTTAACTTTGGTAGTGCCCTTGTGTGTCCCAATTTGCTATCCAAATCAAAAATGAACTCAATATCTTTCCAAGAGGCGGTTTTTTCTTCCCAAATTATATCTTTATTTAAAAAATTATTTCTTAAACCCTTTAAGAGATGAGGTGGGTCAAAAAATATGCTTAAATCGTGATCAGCAATATTAACTGATCCATCTGTAAAATAATTAAAATAAATAATATTTGTCATGAAGTAGAACTGGTTTTTAAGTAATTAAGAATGGTACACACCATCATGAACACCTTGAATATTCCGCCTACGAATTGTATCTTCCCTAAGTCTTCTTATTGCTGTTCGAAATGTGGACCCTTGATCACAAACAAGACCTAAAGGTATTAACCCAGTTTGTATTACTTGGGGCACAATCTGCTTTAAAATGCATTGCAGCTCTGCTGCTGATACTGTGCCTTCACAGAAATAAAATGCTACACTCTGTCTCCATGGAGAGCATATTCCTCTTAGCATAAAAACTAAAGCATGATCACAATATTTTAGTTTTCTCTCTCCAGCTATATCTACAAACCCATTAATTATATCATCTTTCTCATTAAAAGTTAAATGTGGTGTCAGAGAGACTTCATCAAAAACTATTGTGCATAGCTTTTGTTTAGTGTCCCATTTTTTTGTTGTATTTGATATATGTTCAAATATTAATGGATTGAGTCCTGCTTGTATTGAAACCTTCTCAGAAAGTCTATTTAATGTCCGTTTACTAGGCAAGGCAAACATTCTTTCTAATAGTTTATAACTTTTGGGGCTTTGTTTCATTATGAGCAATGCCATTAATTTTTCATCTAAGGTAAACCTTCTGGCCATTTTGCTTTTATGAATTTGTTTTAATTGCATAAACAAGAAAGTCTGAGCTTGTTTGTTTAACAAATAAAAGTTTTCCAAAAGGTCTTTATTTCTTGACAGGGATTGGGCTTGATCAAGTCGTTGTGATACTGGGTCACTTAAACTTTCAGTTGCAATATTAGTCAAAAATTTAACCAATTTTCTTTTCCTTGATACTATTTTCTTCGCCATGTAACCTGAAGTGAAATAAATAAAATAATTAAATTCTATATTCATATTTTATGACTGAATGATACACTTAAAATTATTAATTTTTTATTTATACATTTTTATTTTAATCTTTTAATGTATTCACTTTGATAAGATAACAAATAAAGTGGATGTCATCAGAGGAAGAGTTCCAGAAAAATGTAACCTTAACAGTAAAGGACTTGTTGATAAAACCATTGAAGTGTAGTGGAACTGTAATATTGGGATTAGGTGAAGAACAAAAAAACTCTTATTGTGATTTGAGGTAGATATTGAAACTTTTTCTAATTATGTCTAAGAATAAACTGAATTTATCATACCTGTTTGCTTTTTTGTACATGTGCTACCTTTTGGCATCATTTGTTTCACCACATTAGCATTAGAATCAATTCCTGAAAAGAAGCAATAGTTATGAATGTTATGGTCTTAAACATAAATTAAATTTACAATGTATGCTTCTCCGTATTGTATTTCTAAATTAAATACACATAACCATCCTCTAGAACTGATGCAGTTCCAGGTATGCAGTGACACCTCCAGTTCACAGCCTGTTTTTAAGCATTTAAAGTATTTTTTCTATTACCTGATATATAAGTACTTCTTTTAATTTGATCCCTACATAAATGTATAAAAAATTATGTCCAATACAATTTCCCATACCTTTATTTTCAACAACTGTTGCAACAGTTGAAAAATTTGAACATGAAGGCTGTTCATGAGAATTTCCAACATCTGAAATTTGTTACAAGATTGCATTTTTATAGATGTCAGTATGATTAGGCAAACACATTATTAGAAAATGAATGGTTAGTAAATTTATGAAATAGTTAGAAAGCTTTTTTTGCTACTTAGTAACTAGTGCTACATGAATATTAGTACACATCTGACGATCCAATCTCTACCGATGATTTGGAACAATCATTTTGCTCTTTGTAGTAATTGTGTTCAATCGTAACATCACTTCCTGAAAACATTATTCAAAATGTTGAAAAATTTGCCACTGACTGTAATTTAAATAAAATATTTTTAGAAATCAGTGTTCATCATAATATGTTTACTATGATTTACAATTAACATCAATTAAGATATTTGTACATACCAGGCTTTCTAACCACTAACACAGCTTCTGTGAAATCATCTTCATTTTGCTCTTTACAGTAATTATGTTCAGTTGTGACATCCCATCCTGAAAAAATTACACTATCATAGCAAATAATGATGTAGAGTCAATGACACTTACAAATGGTCGTACTTTTATCTTGTTAATACTTGGGCCCAAGAATGTATAGAGACGTCTCCTTCTCTTTTAAGTACCATGGTTGAAAGTAATAAAATAACTCACCAGTTGCAGTCAGAGGCACACCATGAGCTATTTCATTGTCAGTAAGCAAGGACGGGTAAGAGTATCGAAGTCTTCTGCCTTCATTGCCGAACTGAAATACATCAAAATGTTTTTCACAGACACGTTTGTTAAGTAACTGTTCTTTGGAAAGTACAATGAGCTGGGGATTTGTCGGCACTATGAAAGCCATCCACAAGTTCCTTAAATTATCGTTCCTAGGGAATCTGAAAAGCCGGTGCGTTTCACGTGTTGTATTGCAACCACCAACACAACACTTTTCGTATACCATTATGATGATATATGCAATATTCACACGAGCAGCACAAAAACAGAATATTGTAACAATTGAGAAAAATTTAGATAAATAATGGCGGCAAATGGCGGCAATCATATCGATAGTTTTGACAATATGATTTGACATTAATAGAATATGGCGTCTCAAAATGGCGTCCGTAGGCAGAGTATAAATTGCGACGGTAGCGCCAAGTTGCGTAGAATGGAACTAAGCTGTCACGGGCCTGAGACTGCGAAATAAATCTGGTTCCGGTGGTATTATTGTAGTTCAACTCAAAACGTTCTATTGATGAAAAACTAAATGCGATGCACATTGGCCGAAAACAAAAAAAAACATTATAAATTCTTCTTGGTCTGCGAATGCGCGCAATTTCTCCGCAAAGATGATTCTTCAAAACAAATACCTGGCTGGGTTCAAGGTCTCAAATCTTGAATTTTTAACCCGAAGGAATGCATAAATTACATAGAGAATAGTGCAAGTTCATTTACAATTTTATATCTAAATATTCGGAGTATAAATTGCAACAAGGATGGTCTACAGTTATTACTCGAGTTGCTTATATCTATAGATATGAATCACATCAAACGAAAAATAGATATAATCAAAATGACGGAGTTATTGTTCAGGTTAGATCAGGTATTGTTTACCCTATTCATGAACCCCCCCCTCTTTAAGGAAGCTAACTACCTAGTGTGTAATTTAGCTAACTATCTTTTGTCGCAATTTCTTCGAACATTATAATTTTTTACACAGTTATTAGATGGTTATATTACCGGGCACAGTCAAGGATATTTTTTTCTCGACGATATTTTTGGTCGACATTACCATTCCGTATGACGAGAATCTCGTGAAAGTAGAAACAGATAAACGAACAAAATATTTGGACCTGGCTCACGAGGTGACTGACATGTGGGGTCGTATGCCGGCCGAAATTATTCCTGTAGTCGTCTCTGCGAATGGGCTAATCCCAGTCGGCCTCTCGGGTCATCTGAGGCGACTGGGACTCCGTGACGGACCGCTCTGATGCAAATGCAGAAGGGGTGCTCCTCGATACCGCCCGCATCATCCACCGGTTTCCTTTCCTCCTAACCCTCGGCCGTTTGGTCTCCCCTGCCGAGGGCTTCCATCTGGTTGGGCTTTTATTTATTTATGTATTTTTGTATTTATTTTATTTTATTGATATTTATGTTATTATATATTTTATTTTATTAATATCCCTGTTGGTATGTAAAAGTTTTGAAGTTTTTAGTGATATTAATATAGATATACTTAATTTTTGTAACAACTGTAATGATTATTTGAACTCGTGTGCCAATCTCGACGTATTTCCATCTCATAATCAAACACCTGTCTGGATCATGTATTACTCAGAACGAGTCTATCCGCCACTTTCATGATTATAGGTTCATACATAATTAATCATAACACAATACTACTAAATTTGAAATATAAACCTAAGTCCTTAAATAAAAATACAAGCAGAATAAATTTTGACAAAACTATAATTATATCTGATCTAAAAAAAATCTGCTTCTAATGATAATTTTACATCTAAAACAGTCAACGAGGCCAATCAAATTCTGAATTACTTGAAGAAGTTTCGTCAATAATTAAGACTCATTCTATTTGACACACAATCAACCTAGAAGGATTAGAAATATGAAACCCTGGATCATGCCACGCCAGGACCATTGAAATGTATCAGAAATCGCGGCCGATTGCATAAAAAGTTATAGAAAGAAATATCCAAATAATTTGACTCATGAACTAATATAAAAGATATAGAAACGTCTGTAATGAAAATTTGAGAAATCTAAAACGCACCTATAAATAACCGAGCTAATTAAAAGTAAAAATGATTCAAAAAGGACTTGGGAAACTGTAAAGAATATATATCATACTAAATACCTAAAATATAAATTCTTCAAATGATAATAATAGAGATAATAATTTTCTTATGTAGCTGCATCAGTGGACTATGTCAACAAATTCTTTGTTAATATTAGCAAATACTTTCCAATGAAATTATTATAATTGGTCCCTACCTCCGTTCAGAGGAACAAAACTCTTTCTTTCCCTTTTATCTATTTACACGAAGTACTAAATGAATAAGTTGACAGAATTATTATTGGACTTCGTTCTTACTACAGGATGTGACGATATTCCTACACCAGACTTTAAGGCTTGTAAAAGTACTTCACCCCTCCCCCCTCCCTATGACACATGTATATACTGGTTGACTATTTTACGGTCTGGAAAATAATATAGTGTTTTGTGTAAATAGAATAGAAGCTATCCTCAAAAGTATTTGTAAAATGTAACAAAATATAACTAGATAGACAAAATTTCCGAATATCCGAAAAAAATACATAAAACAATTGATCCTAAGGCGTTTGCGTATAATATCAATGACCTTAAACCATCAGTGTAAGTAGACCTCCCAATACTAGTTATACTGTCTACTAATTCAAGATCAGCATATATTGGTTATTAGTAGAATACTTGGTCGATAAAAGAAAGATTTAAAATAGCAGCACTTCTCATCTTTTATTAATATTTTGCTTTATTAATAATTCCGTCGCGTGTCGCATGTTTGTAAGGCTTTTGACAGTTTCAGATCCAGTCTTACTAAAAGGGAAAGAATAGGAGTAAGAGGTCTAGCTCTGAATATTTTTAGAGATTATCTCAGTATCCGCAGCCAATGTTTAAAAATAGGTAATGTTTGTAGTGGATACGATTATTAGTGCTACGGTATATCACAGGGTAGCATATTAGGCCCTAATCTGTTTTTGAATTTATATTAATGACCTGTGTAATTTATCTTTGCCAAACTGCAAAACCCTAGTCTATGCAGATGACACTACTTAATCATCCACGGCAATATCTGGGAAGATGTTAGAAAAAACCGCTGAGCGTGCCTTGAAACTAGTAATGTAGTATCTGTCATCAAATATACTAAATTTATAACTTTTTCATTAAAAAAAAATACACAACCTCCGTTAAACGCTTATGAAATTAAAATACACACATGTGGTTCCACAAATCGGTCACATGCTCGTGTAAATCAATAGAAAGAGTAGATAACATTAAGTATTTTGGGTATCCACATCGACAATAATCTAAACTCGAGTGCTCACGTTGTACAATTTACTGTTCGTATTAGAAAAAAGCGGGCTAGGGCGAAAGGGACAGAAATCGGCGGACAACGCGGGCGGTATCGCGTAGAACCGCCTTCTGCATTTGAGCCCGAAATGGTCCGTCACGGAGTCCCAGTCGCTTCATATAACCCGAGAGGCTGACCGGAATTAGCCCGTTCGCAGAAACGACTACAGGAATAATTTCGGTCGACAGACCACCCCACATGTCGGTCACCTCGTTAGCCAGGCCATGATATTTTGTTTGCTTATCTGTTTAGTCTTTCACGAGGTGCTCGTCATACGGAATGTTAATGTCGACCAAAAATATCCTTGACTGTGCCTGGTTCATCAGCACAACATCAGGCTTATTCGCAAGAATAGTCCTGTCTGTGATGACGGCCCAGTCCCAGTAGAGCCAGGCGCGATCATTTCCGAGCACGGCTTCCGGCAATTACTTATAATAAGGCAGTTTCTGATCCGCGAGACCGAAGTTCGGAGCGAGCTCCTGGTGTAAAATCCTGACTACTAGGTTGTGCTTGTGCATGTACTCAAAGTTCGAAAGTGCCGAACAACCAGGAATGACATGCTTAAGTGACTCACAGGGAAGTCGATAAGCTTGACTGATGTCGAAGGTGGCATGCTTTAACCTGATCCTGTATTTCACAGACAAAACCCTCGGTTTCCCCCAAAGAGGCCCCCGAAATGTAGCCAGTTAAGGAAGGCGGCTCAATCTACGAAATACTTGTAGAGCCTTGTAGAAGCTTCCGTGGAGCTCCTTCTCCTTCCATACGGTCTCCCGGTCGGGAATGGTATGTACTGCCGGGTCCTACCATTGCTTATTGGCTAAGGATAGAGAAGCCCTTTTTCACAAGAAATGACGTCCATAAAGAATGGATCATCAGATCTCGTCAGGAAGTTTTCCTATATTAACCTCCAGATATTAACTTTAGCTTATAACTCTTCTTCGAAATTTAGATATTTCCTCATTATAACAAAACGGAAAGCATAAAAATCACATATCCTCATAACAAAACGGAAAGCCTAAAAGTCACATATAATAAGTAGTATGTTTAATATAGTTTATTATGTATAGAATTAAAAATGTTCAATTTTAAAGTTACATGCTACTCAATGAGCTAGACAATACACAATTTTTTTTTCATTATGTACTATATTTTGATTCTTGAGCGAGGATAGACGTAGGTGTTTACGTATATGCTTGTGTGAACTTTGTAATCGTTTACCCATTTGGTTTAGACCCCTAAACCGCGGTATAAATCTATCAGCCATTCATAAGTCCACCGCTGCACATATCTATACAAGAGTCCTGTGCTACCTGCTTCCATGGACTTCCTAGGTACACGTCCAATGAGGTCGTCACTCTATTTAGTTGGCGGCACTCCTACATAGCTTGCCGGTACGACTGCCACTCTAAAACATTACCTAAATTAAAGGATGCAGCCTCTTTCCTCACGATGAGACGATAAGGCGGGAAAACCCCTTAATAATATCTCTAATAATAAATATCTCTAATAATAATGGGAATATTACCAAAAAAAAACCGGATTATAGTTATGTGTGAATAATCCTGTTAAAGTTTTTTTTTTTAATTAAAATCGGGGACAGCAACGTTGTTCACTCGCTAATTTCAAGTTCTTATTCATTATTCATTAGTTAGGTATCGGAAATAGCCACGTAAAATTAGAACAAATTTAATCGATTTAGTCAACTTTTTATAGATAGGTTTAATTGTTATATTTCTTCAATGAGTAATAATGTTGTTTGACACTGTTTTTAAAATAAATTTGAGATTATGGACAGTTCATACAAAAAATATAGTAAGATGTTTAACCGTGT